GATATGCGATCATTATTTTATGCATAATTCTACTATTGGCACTTTTGCTCTTGTAATTCTTACCTACTGCTGCATCCTGCTACATTCCTTCGCGCGCGACGCCCCTCTCACCGCGACACGACCATTTCGTTCCTAATGCACCACACCCCGAGCGCCCCAGTTCCATGTGATGGTCTAATTTCTTGTCACAAGGTCAGAGACCGCTGACTCTTCTAGAGGTTCGTCCCAGTGCAGAATCTGGTTTTACACGTAATACCTAACAATCAACCTCAGTAACAATTTTCTTTATCTTCGATCCTGATCGAGGCGGCACATGTTGGCATCCCCGATTGGTTCAAGTAGCAGATTGATGAGGTCCCATTTTAGTAAGGATTCTGCTGTAGTAAATGCCCTAACAGTCTTCTCGCCTATTCTATAGTCTTATAGCCTCAGCTTGAAACTGTAGACATTTTGCAATTTGGATAGAGGCACATAGATTCGTTTCGAGGGATATTACCGCTGACGGTAATTCAAGGGCCTAGCTACAATCTTTTCACGGGATTTCACAGAATGAGATACCCTATAAAGGCACTGCAAAGGCCGGTGGCCATTTTCACATGGACAGAGCCTCAGTGAAAAGCATGTTGGCAATTGTCTCGCAGCTCAAGCCGAACCCCCCTCCCCCCCCAAACAATTGATATTCTAAACAATCTGGGTTTTATTCTACTTGACAAACACTGGTCTCAGCAATACTACATGGTCAAGGGACGGAAGATGGAAGAAGAAGAAGACCCTGTAAGAACTACAAACTAACACACCAACGGCTCCACGAAAGATTGTTGTAGAAGTCATGGATCAAGCAAATTTCCTTAAAAACCGGTTAAAGAACATCGACTTACGGTCTATTCTTGTTCTTGAATGCTTTCAATACATTTCCGCCTATTTTGAAGACAACTCGCTCTGTCTTTTCATACAGCTCTCCCTCTATTATCGTACCATTTTGAGCCATGACACTGAGGACGCCTTCCACTCTGAAGTATCATTTTCATTGGCTTTCTAGAAGACTTTCGCTGGAGGGGCGGAAAGGTTTCTGACAGTGACGTCTGGAAAGCTAATTTGTAGAGAAAAGAAGAAAATAAATTGTAAAAGGTACAATGAACAGCCATAATGGGACCGAATGCCCTTTTTCACAGTGCCAGGCCTCACTATTGTTAATACACTGCCTTATCAGCAGGAGTTGTTTTACAAGGAGTCGAGTCAGCCCATTAGACTAATCTATTTTTATTACCTTCGTGAATTTTCTTTGCCATTTCGGTTTTGGTTCTCGGCTAGTAACGAGAAGACAACGAAAACTTGTGATTTCCCAGCATTCAGCATACCTCTTCGCATCTGGACAGGTGTTGGAGGGTTCGACACAGGCTTTAGTCACTCGGTTGTACTTCCGCACATCGTTGGTTTGTAATCCGCTCTCTTGTTCACTTCTCTGAAATAGCGATTCCGGGAAAGATATAATTAAGAAAGGATGGCTCAAATAGAAGACAAACTTCTCAGCTGACCCAAGAGACCTATGCCAGGAGGCCATAGCACTCAATTTCAGATATTAGGGCGTTCGGGGAGTTTTGGTAGACTACGCCTAACAAGTGTGAAAGCATGATGCTCCCGAAAGCGCTGAAGCAGGATTATAGATTCCACAAGAGGGAAAGGGTGTTGTTGTTGATGATTGTTGATAGATCAATACTATATCCGATGGGTATTTGACGTCGTCGTTGGAAGTATGAACATCGACAGAACAGTATACGATCAACAAGTCCACCGGGACCTTCTGCCTCAGCATTGCGAAACTGATCGCTTTGACAGGGAGGATGGTAGGTGTAATAGCCCATGTTGAAATCGCCCACGCTTACATTCGGAGCGTTGACTCGGATTCCTAAAGCTTCCTGCTGCTGATGCGAGTACCAGCTCACAGTAGCATGACTTCAGTCAACAAAAGAAAAATCTTAAATGCCTCTCACCAAAAGTCTCGTCTTCCTTTCGACAACGATCATCTGTTTTCCAATGAGTACATTCTGCACAGTTCCTTCTTCTTGAAATTCATCATCTTTCATCGTTTTCACATTCACCACGGCTGGACGGGCCTGAAAATGGGCAAATAGCCAAGCTTGCTCTGGGGCTTCTATCAAATATTCGCAAAACGTACTCTAACAAGGCTTTTGAGCTCATCTTTTCGTTCATCAAAACTCATACCATATGAGTGTAACACTATACTTGAACAGATTATTATCTGCTCACTATCCGGATCAACTCGTACAGTTTGGCAGGAGCGAATCTGAAGCATTCCACATATCAATGGAATCAAATGCTTGTTGTCAGTGTTACAATCAAATGCTCACAACAAAAGGTGCGATAAGGGACAGTCTGTGATCCGGGATCTGAACTCGTGAGGTAGAACGAGAACGAGAACGACTGCGACTTCTACTTCTACTGCGGGACGCACTGAAAAAGTTCATTTGTTTTCGGCAGAACAAAACAGTCCGGGATCCCAACAAATGGAAGTAAAGGATCTTCAGGAGGAAGCCCAAAATTTGCCCAGCGGCAGCTGTTGCTCTCAGATAGCACTCAGTACGCTAAAAACATGCCGGCAAATAGCCGTGGTCATCCCTCTGGGTTTGGGACTCGCTCGAGGTAAACCCTTATTGAAGAGTTAATCATCTTGAGAGCGAATTTTTTGTTTATCTTCT